TCCTAAAAACGATTCAGTCTCACTTTGCCCCACAAAATTTCTCTGAAAGGCCTGCAATGAACTTTTAAACCGAATCAGCAATTATCTGTCCACTGTCCTTGCTCTCCCGCCACATCTCACCTCCGCCGCCACTACACCACCCTCCCCACCGGCCTGCTGCTTCAACTCCTTCATCTTCGGTGCCTGCTCCTCCCACCCTGCGCGGACTCTTCCAAAAGCGCCAGGCTTGGTGCTCTACTGTGACTTCTTGAGGCTCTCAGGACTTCTATCCTAGTGTTCCAGTGATGATGGTAACACCCTCACCTCCAACCCCTACCCTGCCCCAAATCTCTAGCTCTCTTGCTCATTCATGTTTCGCACTTGTGCTAAATATGATCGTTTCCACTTGAATGTCTTTCTGGAATTTCAGACTTAGAGTGCCCTAAAGTCAAGTCATAATCTTTTGCCTCACATATAACTCGCTTCTGATTTCTAACTGCTGCTAATGGTACTAACATATGGCTTTGAAAATTTAGAATTATCTCTGGCTTTTCCTTCTCCTTAATCCTTCCTATATAATAATTATTAAATTTGTTTTCCTTTAATGTATCTCTTGTATCTATCCCTTCCTCTCCACTCCCATGCCATCCTCCACACCTTGAGGAATCCCTAACGGCCTCCTACTTAGCCTTCTTTATTTCTGTTCCCTGTCCTTCCCTCCAATCTAGCCTATAAAAAGTTACCCAGCAAATCTTTCTGAAACCTCATGTTCATGTATCACTTCTCTACTCTAAAACTTATAGTGACATTCCCTACTTTTTCACATATCAAATCTAAACTATTTTCCCTAATATTCTGTACCCCTGGTAATATGGCCACCTACCTTATCTAGCCAACCTTTCTTTCCATTGTGTCCTATATTCCAGTCGGGCCTATCCTTCTTCAGTGACTCACAAATACAGCACACTCATTTCCACCTGTATCCTTCTCATAATTTCTTCTCACATGGGATCTACTTCTATCCACCTCTGTAAATTCTATCTACTGTTTAAAGCCCAACTCGAAAATCCTCTCCTCCATAAAACCTCTCTTCTACATATTCCATTATTCATAGATGTGCTCTAAACTTCCACAGATACATACATAGAATATTTAACATGAACTGTCTTGTACAATCAGGCCAGATTTTAACTTGGGCTGCTAAGTATGTGCACTAGGATGAAGGCAGCCCCAGCTCTGTTACCCACCCTGAGGCTTCAGGAAAGGGACAAACTCTGTGGCTCTCCCTGAAAAACAGGAGATAGCCAATTGCCTCTGCCTCTCTATAAAAATCATTTTTTCCTTCATTTAATAACTTATTTATTGAATACCTAGAGAAATTATAAAGGAAATGATAAATGCATTATATTTGGAAATATTTGCAAAAAAGGGTTACACAGATTTAAGTTTATCATTAAAGTAGCATTCAAGATTTATAAAAGCAGTCTGTAATTATAGACTTTTCCAAAGATTTGATTTTTTTTCTTACCCTGAGAAATTAATGACCCAAAAAAGGATGAGAGAAAAAATTATATATACGTTTCTTATCTTCTCTTGGTCAATTTATCAAATTTTTGAAGAGAAAAGAAGTTTTATATAGTTACTATTTAGTAATAAGAAAGATACACCTCAAAGGCAAAACTTTCTAACAAAGCTCCCTGCCGTTTTCTAATCTAAGATATAAACTTTAAACCAATACCCGTTATAATGTACTACCATTAACCCATTTTGTAATATCCTTTTATTCCAAAAATTACAAAATGCTGTTACGATTTTGAAATTATTATAGCAATGGAAATATTTCTTAAAAACAATAAAGAAACCAGATGTCACAAAGGGGTTACTAATCCTATGAACTGCTGACTCCAGCACCCCCTAGTGTTGCTGACCCCAAAGCAGCACCCCAGCTTCGTCATAAATTTTAGAACATTGGAGAGAAATAGATACCAAGCACCTGTTATGTGTCAAACACTGAACTGAGTACTTTATATACACCATCAAATGGAATATCACAACACTGCCCAGTATTACAATCCTTGCTTCACTATGAAGGAGACAGAAGCTGCAGAAGCTGAGGAACTGAGCGATGTGACCACGGGTATGGTGGGTGGCAGAGACAGAGTGTGTGTCCAGCCCGAGCTCCTAAGCCTGAGTTTGTAGTATTAGAAACAATCCCTACTGCTAGCCAGAAGACCCTGCCCCTCCCGCCTATTTAAGGAACAGGCTGCAGTAATTCTCCCCCCTCTTGTCTGCATTGTCAGTTTTGCACTCGCTGCTGAACCCTTCCATGTTATAAACATGTTTCTTGTATCTCAAAATAAAATCTCCTGACTCCATCCTTCCTACTGACTACCACTTCATTTCTTTGCTCCCTTTAGCTGTTAAACTTGCGGTCTCCAATTCCTCTCCTCTGTGCTCTTATACCAGCTCTACTCGGATTCTGCCCCACCACTACCCCCAAACCACTCTTTGTCAAGTTTACTGATGACTCCAAATGAATCCGACAGTCACGTTCACCTTACCTGACCCAGCAGCAACAATCCAGAACTAACCTCTCTCTCCTCCATGATACTTTCTTCATTTGGCTTCCAGAACACCACACAAGCTTTTCCCCTCTACCTTACTAGGATCTCCTCAGGGCCTGAGCTGGTTTCTCCTACACTCCCTGATCTTTTCTTACTGCCCCCAGGGCTCAGTCCTTGGTCCTCCTCTATTTCTACATACTCTTCCTTGGTAATTGCATCCAGTCCCATGGCTTTAAACACCTTCTATATGCCAACGGCTGCAAAATCTGTATCTCTAGCCCAGACCTCTCTCCTGAACCCCAGACTCATATATTGAACTAGGTGCTACGTATCTCCATTTGGATGTCTTAAGACACTTCAAAACCAGCATGTCCCACACTGTACTCTGAGCTTCCGCTCCATGCCTCCTCCAAATATAGACTCTCTGCCTCAGTGATGGCAGCTCCTTCTAACAGTTGCTCGGGCCAGAAACTCTGTAGAGTTCTTGTCCACCTTGCTTTATCTTGCTATCCATCAAGAAATCCTGCCGGCTCTCCCCTGCACAATATGCCCACAAGGTGACACCTTCTCAGCCCTCCCCCAGCCCCCCGCTGCACCTTGGCCTGAGCCACTAACAGCCTCTCGTCTCCCTGCTTCTCCCCTCCCCCCCCCACACGGCCTCTTTTCAACACAATAACCTGAAAGATCCTTTGAAAACAGAAGTCAGATTTCTCATGACCCTGTGGAAAACACTACCGCCCCCTCTTTGCATTCACAGTCTCAACAGCCAGGGATGATCTGGCTCCTGCTACTCTCTGACTTCATCCACTACTCCTCCCCTCACCCTGCTCCAGCCCCACTGGCCTCCTTGCTAGTCCTCAAGCACAGCGAACACATTCCCTCCCACCGGAACAGGCTTTTCCAAGGGGTTGCCCCTGCCTGGAATACTCTTCCCCTGCCCCCATACCCATATTCCTTATTTCCTTCAACTCCTTCAAGTTTTTACTCAGAAGTCCACCTCAGAGGCTTACCCTGAGCACCATATTTAAACTACAACTAGCCTCGTCTGTGGCCCTCCTGCTCTGCTGCTCTTTCTTGAAGGACGTATCTTCGTATCTTCGAACACGCTACACCCTCAACTTCTATGTCTATTACATGTGTCCCCCTACTAGAAGGGTAAGCTCCAAGAGCACGCAGATCTTTGACTTTCATTCTCTAATGTATTCCACTTACTCAGTACTGTGCTTGACACATAGCAGGTGCTCATTTAATAAAGGAGAAATATGGTACACTGCTCTACTAGTGAAAGTGCCAAATGGCAGTCCTTCCCCCTAGTTATCAATACCCAACGGCACGAGAAGCAAGGCAGGCTCAGGTGTTCCAGTAGGAAATGTCAGTTGAGAGCCCTCATATATTCGAATATTATCTAAATATTATCTATTATTATCTAAATAGTATCTATTATCTATTTAAGTTATCTGTGCCTATACCTCCACCATGTTCAAGACTGCGTGAACACTACTACATCTGAAGAGAACACACTGGGGGTAGGGGAAGTGGAGGTACTGGAGGAAATTTTAGCTCCAGGAGTAACACGCTAGGACCCAGAGGAAGATTAGAAGTAGTGACAGGTTCTGGTGAAGTCTGGCAGCAATGATACAAACATGAGACCACAAAAACTTAGATTACCAATAAACTTCAGAATTCCAGTCTAAAAGATCAAAAGATAGAAGAGGCAAGTCAGGAAGAAAGTCAGAAGAATGGATATATCCCCTAATACCCCGCTGTCCCTTCATCTCCATCCTTGAAGGAGGGAACCATTAAAATAAAATCTATTTTTTCCCATAAAGAACCAAAACTACCACCTGGACAAAACCAGCAACAATGCCAGTGGACTTATGATCTGAGCTCCATCTTGTATCTGCTGGTGGGAAGTGGGGGCATCTCTTCCTAGTCCTGATGTTCCTTTTTATGTGGAAAGATTTCCACCAGCAAAAGTTTCTGGTCTCACTCCACTCTCATCCCTTCCTTCCTAGAGGATGCACACATCTGCTCTGTTTCTCCACACTTTAAGTTTCTCAAGGGCAGGTGCTCATATATAGAAGCTTGAAACAGTCCAGCACTGAATGTGAGAAGTTGGTCTAATTCTGAGTTTCAATATTAAGGCCACCTGTCCACAGACATAAGTCACATTTTTCAATAGTAGCATCATTAATAATAAAAGTAACATTCTGGCTTTTGGTTTGCTGTATCTTTACTCAAAGATTGGTTTAAAGCACAGGCATGATGAAGGTGGCTTTTGACTGCTCGCCTAAAACCCTCTATCACCCTAGGACTCTAAGCTCACAGGTGAAATCACCACAAGCTCAATGTTTGAACTCCACGGCCTTAGCACAGTGCCCTGCATATGGCAGAGGCTCGTTAATGTTTGTGAAATTGAGCACATAATGAGTGTCTTAAAATACACAATTTACCTACCCTGTGTTGAAAAAAGGATGGATCGAGATATTTGTCAAATCGATCTTCAAATTTTACATCTGACTTTTTCCATTTCACCTGAAAAAAATTTTTTCACTTAAAAATAAAGGCCAGTAAACAAATTAGTAAGCTGATAACAAAGCCCTGAGCAAAATTAGGAAAGATTTATACACTTAGAACAAGAAGCTAGAAAAATGGTGGAAAGTTACTGCCAATTTGAGAAGCTGAAACATGTAAGATAAAAAACTAACCAACTGTCCTCTCTCTGTATTAACAAAACTTCCAACTTTACGTAGAGGGATCATTTCAGTTTTCAAGTACTATTAACTATTGCTGACTTATATATATACTCTGACCTGATAAATGTGGTTAGGAACTGAATTAGCTAGGCCAGTTAAAATAAGAATCCGTCCATCTTTGACTTTAGATTGCATTAGTTTTATTACAATTATCAAACTTCTTTGTAAGTTCAGTTACATAAATATCATTTGCACTAGTTACATATGCCTAAGCTTTAAAAAAATCTTTCAAAAACTGGCTCCTAGCAATGGATTCATTCCAGTTATCAGGAAAAAAACTGGCAAAGAGAGAGGCTACCTATATCAGATTTTTCTTCTTTCCACTATTTTTAATCCTAATGGAACAGAATTAACTTGACAGTTGCAAAGAGCTCTGACAAGCTCTTACTCTGCAGGAGTATCTTATTCCAACTGATAAAGCAAAACATGGTAAACTATACCCAACCAGCAATTTTCAAAACAGCTTCATCTCTATATGCAACAGTGAAAAGGGAAGAGAAACAACAAGGTATACTGCAATCTAAAAATGTAACCATGAAAAGACATGGCTGGTTCTAACTGCTCAGTTATAATGGTAAACTTTGCTGTAGCCAATGGTAAGTCCTGCAAATGCGTAAACTGTATTTAATACAGACCTGAAGCAAATCTCCCTGCTTTTAGGAGGCTTACTTATATACATTAAGGGAATACAGTTTTAATAATATTCTGTTGCACCCTATTTTCCTTTACTAAAGTAGTAAAACACACTTAACTGTTGCTATTAGGTCACAAACACTTCTTCCTATATACAATTATTTTAATACTTACTGAATATGACATCTGGATTTTAGTATTGGGAACCAGTTTCACCTTTCCTTCACTAGTCAAATTAACATCAACAATTCGATTTCCATTAAAACCTATTTCGAGTTTTTTGTACGTCCAAAGATAGTAATCTTCTCCATTTTCATCTGCTTCACCAACAATACCTACAAAGAAAATAGCACTTTATACAAGGTAATATCACTTAATGTTTAAAATATGTTAGAAGGTAAAAGCCCATTTAAAAAGTTTTTATAAACAAGCAATGTTACAATTATTCTTCATGGTTAGAAAAGGATAAAAGTACAGGCTGGACTTCTACTCTTTGTTAACTACTTGGCAAACATAAACCATGGTTATACCATGAATAGCTCAGCATAATCTATCACTAATTTGATCATCAAAGTTCATGCTTTGTCATGAGTAGTATCACCTTCATTGTAATAATTATCACCTTATACGTGTATACTTCCTAATACCTGAAAATTTCAGGGAAGTATGGTCACCATCTGGTACGGTCACCCAGTTAGTAGTAGTCAAGCTAAAATTAAAACCAAGTTCTCCAGAGTCCCAATCCAGTACTTTCTCTAATAACCTAAGATCTACACATTCCTAAGTAAGCTGCACATATGTGTGTTATCAGTACCAAAACTTAAAATGCCTCCTCTTTATGCTTCAAGTAGTGGACCTATCCTTGGTAAATCATCAAAATGAAAGAAGTGTTGAAGATAAATGTTAATGGGGCACTAGTTTAAAATGATCATTTTGGGGTTTTTTTTTTAAGATTTTTTATTTATTCATATGAGAGAGAGAGAGTGCGTGTGCACAAGCAGGGAGGAGGAGCAGAGGGAGAGGAAGGAGCAGACTTACGGCTGAGCAGGGAGCACGACACAGGGCTTGATCCCAGGACCCTGGAATCATGACCTGAGCTGAAGAAGACATTTTAACTGACTGAGCGATCTAGGCGCCCCTAAAATGATCATTTTGACCATAGTTTGGGATACTAAAAGAAGACCCAAACAGTGTCAGGACAACAGGTGGTAGCTGAGAATCTACCTCTTGTGCCCTCATAATGTCAGCTATTTATCTATGTTCCCTACTCAAACCTACAGACTTCCTAAGAGCCTTATCCACTAAAACTGACTCCTTAGGGCCTTCCCTCTTTGGTCAATGCATCTTATTACAGTATTAGGGGAAAATAAGATCATTTCTTATTAAGGATTATTTGCTTATTAACCAAAGTTGTTCTCTCAAACTGATACAAATTCAAGGAATATATTTCATTGTGTTTGGGGTCGCAGAGGGATAATGAAATCCTTCTAATAATTTCATCAAGGTTTATTTACCTATCTACACTGAAAACTCTGGGGGTGGAGACACAATTATACCAAATAAGAAGCTATTCTCTACAGGGCTTTTAAAAGATGCTGAAACACCCCAAAAAAAGTCAAATAAGAATTTTTTCTCTGACAAGAATTCCCATAGTTCAGACATTCTTGAACACCCAAATGTACTCTCCTAAACATGGCAGACCCTAGAATCCCAGGGCTAAAAAAGATTTATTTTAGGACAGGAAAGCACAGTTGCCATGTTGTTAAGGAGACCCACAGAAATGACTGAAAAAACCCTAAGGTTCCAGACAATAAACCCAAAAGCAAAGGAAAAGAACAAGGGAGGAACCTGCTCTTTCACCAAAAAAAGAGGAAACCCTAACTAATGGGTTCTCCTGAACAGGCTCAGAAATCTTGAGTGAATATTCAGCACATCTTCTTGCTACCCTCGGAGCTGATCACAGAAATGTCTGAGTTAATGTAATACTAATTATAGTCATTATATGAAATGCTTACTATTTATACCTAATTAACATGCAACAGAGCAGCAATGATGCATACAATTATATCTTGAGATTGACTTTCTTACAAATTTCATCTCAGCACTACATTAAACTCTGGTCTGATATTTTCAGTATTTCAGTTTGCTGCTCATGAATATAGTAGTCTGCTAACAATTTTCACAATTAGAATATTCATTATATATAAGAACAGGTGTCCAAAGGAAAAAAAAAAAAAAACAAACTAAGAGACTAATACGATCAAACATGCTGGCTGATAGCTGCCTGTGCTTTGCATTTAAAGTAATTTAATCAGATTCTTAACAAGTTCGCCATCTTCATGCAGCCAATCCAGCTATACGACTCTCCCTACCCAGTCACTCGTATACATCTGGCAGAGCTCTGTGCCTTGCAAGCTGTCACCCATATGAGAAACAAAGGGACAAAGAGCAGCTGTGGTCCCCAAACGCCCTGCCAATTGCAATAAGTAGGCAACTACCCAGGTTTTTTTTCACCCCTTTTAGAATATTCACTTACTTTATACTGACTTGATATAAACTAACTCATTTCAACAGTACATAGATATAATTCCTTTACCTAATAGTGTTCTCCTGAAGCTACATATAAATATATCCTTTAAAAAAAACAAAAACAAAAAAACAAGCAACTAAAATCAAGTCCAACACAAATAAAGTTTGGATTTTGCATGGGTTTGTATTAACTATGTCATAGCTCCTCTCCACTAACACAGATAAATAAGAGCTAAAACATTAAAAAAATTTTTTAAAGATTTTATTTATTTATTTGACAGAGAGGGACACGGCGAGAGAGGGAACACAAGCAGGGGGAGTGGGAGAGGGAGAAGCAGGCTTCCCACCGAGCAGGGAGCCCGATGCAGGACTTGATCCCAGGACCCTGGGATCATGACCTGAGCCGAAGGCAGACGCTTAACGACTGAGCCACCCAGGCGCCCAACATTAACAATTTTTAAGGGTGCCTTTCAGTAGGGCATGCGACTCTTGATTTTGGGGTTGTAAGTCTGACCCCATGTTGAGTGTAGAAATTACTTAAAGATAAAAATCTTAAAAAAAAAAAAAAACATGAAAAAAAATTTAAACATACAGTGTTTTGGAAAATAACATAGGAACTAGTGAAACAAGTAATTCAGGAGACTGTCTTATCTAAAAACCACACTACCAGTTCCACGTGAGAGAAAGCCAAAATAAAACTTCAAAATCCTATTTAGTTCCTTTGATTGTATTTGATAGAATAAGTCAAAATAAGATATGAAAAAAATGGGGGAAGGGAGGAATTTCAGATTGTTCAAAATACCTTTTAATTCCTTGAACCTGAAAAGTTATACTATGTAAAAGTTGTATTTTGAGGGAGTTTCATATAAGGCTTGACAACAAAAACCGCTTCAAGTAACAGAAAACCATAAAATTGGTGTTAAAATCATTCTGTGGAAAATACTGAAAACATATTTCCTGATTCACAATCAATCCCCTTAAAACTCATTATATAAGTCATGCTTATTATGCAAATATTCCCAAATTTTAAATATAACATACAATACCTACCCCATATTGGTAAGTCATCTATGTACATCTGGTACCAGTAGTGATTTTTGATAGCATACACAAATGCATCTCTCTTTTCTTTATCTAAGTCAATTTCACAGTAAGTGGCTGGCATCACATCATCTGCATAAGATAAAAATTGCAAATTAGCACACTGGTTTATAAATTAGTTATAGGAAAAATAACACAAGAAAAAGCCAACATTTCCTGAAATTAAAATTTGTATTCATAATCATTGGATCTAGGTGATAAGTATATGAGGGTTCAGTATATAATTCTTTCCCTTTTTATTTATGTTTTAAGATTTTTTTCAAAATAAAAGAATCTAACCATCTTCACTTTCAAAGATTATCTTATTACATGAAAAAAGTTGTCCTTTATATAAAGAAAATTATATAAGAACACATAAAATAATTTTAAACGAATAATTTGCTTTAAAAAACAAAACAAAAAAAAGCTTAAAACACGTAAGTTTTCATTTAACATACACAAAAACTCAAAAATATGATCCTAAATAGAACAACTTCTAGCTGTAAGATCTCTGAAATAAATATTCATTTTAACATTCTTGGAAATGCAAGTGACTAGAGGCCATAGATTCTATGAGGAATCCCAGTGACTCTTCATAATTAGAAAGATTAAAATAACAAACCTCTATCTAGCAGGTGTCACTGTTTATAAATTACCCAAAGGTCTCCTAGAGATGAGTCATTCCCACTCTTGACTGCTTTCAAAAATACTGCTACCACAATATTGTTCAGATGGTCTCTAACCTATAAACCTTTCAAATATGTGCTTTCAAAATGTGCTTATAAATAAGTACTAGGGATGCAATGTACAACATGATGACTATAGCTAATACTGCTGCATGACATATAGGAAGGTCTTTAAGAGTAAATCCTAAGAGTTCTCATCACAAGGAGAAAATTTTTTTCTTCATTCTTCTTTTCTTTCTGTTTGTGGTAATCATTTCACAATATGTAAATCAAACCGTCATACTATATGCCTTAAGCTTATACAGTCATATATGTCATTATTTCTCAATAAAACTGGAGAAAAATGTGCTTATGGTCATTAGTTTCTAAACACAACAAAACCCAAAAAACCTGCAAACACGCTAGATGTCCACTGAAATTATTAAATTGTTTTTGTATATTACTTACACAATTAGAATAAAAGATAAATCTTAACAACAAAAAAAGAAAGCACAGTTGTTTAAGTTCTCCTGTACTGTATTATTGGTTATTTAGAACCTGAAATACAATTCCCCACCAGAAACAATGTTAAATTTCTTAAATGTTGATTAAAACTGCTTAAACATAAACTGCAGCTGAACCATGATTAGTGGCCAGCTACAATATTATTTCCATGAGAAATGGCAATCTGAGTTATAACTCCAGACACTAGCAACTTGTCTCCTCAACCCTCAACAAGAGAGAATAGCTTCCCCTTATTATAGCTCAGCCCAGAGTGGGCACCCCAAAACCACACCACCAAAGATGGCAGGAAACACTGAAGTCCCATAAAGGAGGGATAGGGAAATACTCCTACTCCCAAAGTAGGAGAAGGTAACTGCTTTGTTGTCTCCAACAACAATGGTCCCATACAAATTTCCTTTCTATCAAGGCCCTTATAGGCAGCGAGGAATTTAGGATTTTCATAATGACAAACACTGAGGCTGAGCAGAGAAGGGAGGGAAGGTTAGGCCATGAGGTGGCTACAAAGGGTTCCTCCAGCAGGAGCTAGAGAACTAGTAGCAAGAGGTCCCCAAACAGGATTTCCGTGGAGTGCAATAATGCACAAAGGGCAGCAGGCAACTACAGCAACAAGGGGAGAAAGAGAACCACAGGAAGGTCCAGGCTTGGGTAGCAACAAACGGCTGTGGGAGACCTCAGAGCAAAACACTGCAAAGCCACCAAATCCCTTGCTGTTAAAATCAGACAGTCACTGACAATCGCCATTAACAATGTGGCGGTTTTATGTATGAAGTTCTGAGATCTACAATACGGCATTGACCTGCATGAAGCTTTTCAGATTCCTTACTGTGTGAACTGTGTTCAGCTCTCTCTTGCCCAACTATCTATCGTCCTCTCTCCCTAACTCCAGCCAAACTCAACTACCTGCAGTTCCCACACATCTTGTGCTCTCTTGGCCTCTGGACTTTTTGGCCTATGCTGGAAAGTCCACCACAAATGTCCATCCTAAAATACTTCCCATCCCCTTACCCTCTCCTCCACAGAGTAATCCTTGATTCCCCACCCCTCACACTTCTCAAACCCCACAGCCTGTCCCTTCCTCTGAAGTCCCATGGCTTTCTCTCCACACTTCCCTACGGTACCTAGGTCTATACCACTTATAACCTCATACCAGTATCTTAGTTCCTCAAAAGACCATCATGTATTGAGAGCTATGTCTATACTGATTACATCCTTTTTACCCCCGGCTATGCCTGTTTCAGTACCCTGAACAGAACAGGCACTAAACAAATAAAAAATTTTAGCAAATTTTAAGAGCATGATTTTCCATTTATTCGGCAAAGAAAAACACAAAGTATATTACAGTATGTACATATACATGCATCTGTATATGATTAGGGTGTCTGTGTGTGTTTGTGTATAGGAGAAAATGTCAATATAAACAAATGAAATTTTTTAGCAGAGTTATCTCAGAATGATTCACAAAGAGGTCTTGAAGAGTATCTTTCACTGATGTAAAATCTAGTAAAGAAATGTGGTCAAAGGGAATAACCTATCTTTATGGCAGGCTATAAAAAGGACCTTGGTTGATCATATTTTAATGAAATTCCTCTTGCAGGCATGTGGGCAAATACAAACATCACAAATAATTGAAGAGTCTGGTTGCTCAACTAAAACAGCACTTTTCTCAGGAGGGAGCCGCTTTGAAGATAACTAATGTAATGTGCCTGAATATGCCAAATCATTATTCAGCATTCTATAGAACTGGAAAACAATCTGAAAAATCTATCACCATAAATCACTGCTTTAACATTATAAAAGGGCATACATTTCTCAGATGAAATACACACCTATGAATTCTGAAGAGGATACAATTAAGATTTCACCAATGTAAATATATTACACGGGGGAGAAAACAAACAAAACCAAAGGTACAAAGTGGCAACTGTTAATACTGATTTTTCAAGCAGAAAGCAAGAGTAGTTCCTGCAAACTACCTACCAAGTCTGTCATCATTTCACAATAACACTCCAGACTAATAACTGAACAGACAGTGAAAATATTGAAAAAAGAATGTGGTAATTATTTGAGTTCTCTAAGAACATATTATGCCTAGCTTTATTAGCTTTCTCTTGATAGCATTACCAAATTGGAAATCACAAATGCTCTACCTCAAGTTCAACAGCACTCAGTAATTTTTCATGAAGTCACTATAGACAAATTTATTAAAAAAACAGTCAGAAACTTGAGTTTTAGTCTGGGTTCTACTATTTATTAGCTATGTGAATAAAAAAAAAAATCATTTAGCTTCTGTGAAGCTCAGATCCCTCGGCCATAAAACAGAGATAACATCTATGCTATCTCCTTCCCAGAGTTGTTTTAAGGATTAAAAGTGTCAGTACATTCACAGACCATGTTAAGTTTCCTTGCGCCACACAAGTCTGAGAATCTAATGAAAGTAGTATCTCCCTTGCCCCCCCAAAATGCACATTCACACAAAACTAAGTGTACAATTTCAGAGAACGCATGGACCCCTGAAGCCAGAGCTTCTGGTTCAACTTTGTATATCCAAGCCTACCACACTGCTGATAGAGTCATGTTAAGCATATATATGAGTATTGATTAACTGGCCAACCTATCTGCAATATTAACTGTACAATTTTTTCTAGATGACTAATTGGCAATATGCATCAAAAACTGCCTTAAAAATGTTGATATCCTTTGATTCAGTAATTCCACTTCCAAGAATTTATCCTAATAAAAGACTCAGAGACACATTAAAATACTTATGTGCTAGGGTAGCCAAATGCATTATTTCCAATAGGAAAAAAAGGCAAAAAAAAGCAAGGAATGAAGGGAGGAAAGGAAAAGGAAAAGGAAAAGGAAAAGGAAAAGGAGAAGGGAAGGGAAGGGAAGGGAAGGGAAGAGAGAAAAATAATCAGAATATCTTATAACTGGGAAATAGGGAAAATTACAATATCCAAGTTACAGAATACTACATAAACACATTTTTTTAAAAATTAACAATATGAAGACAACCTCATAGATGTTAGAGTAAAAACTAATTTATATGTAACTTATTAACAGTTAGTAAGTAGTATCTGACAAATACTAAGCTCTGTATGTTACACAAATTTTTTGAAATCATATATATATAACATGAACCCAATTTTTAAAAACTCTAAATAATGTGGATGAATGTAAAGAAAGAAGTAAAAATGGAAGAAAATGTTAATGGTAATTACATCCAGATGATTTTTATTTTCTTCTTTCTATTTCTCTGTAGTTTCTAAATTTTGTACAGTGATCTTATATCATTACATCAAAATCAGAAAAAAATATATACATATATATCCTTTTGGGAAAAAAAAAGACAGATATCAATCTGGAGTAGAACAATGTTATCAATGGCTTGAATAAGAATTTATAAAAAGCCCATGCTATTCAAATTTGCAGTTAGCACAAGGCTTAAGGAACTGCTAACACCAAGAATTCAAAATACCTAGATTCAAGATTCAATACAAGATTCAAATTATTTGGTCTGGCTAAAACACTTTGGGTGAAACCAGGAGCACAAAATATGGCACTGAGTGCCCAGACTTCCAATTAAACAAGGCAGGCTAACCACAAGTATGTCTTTTCCCTCCTGAAACTCCATTAAAATGTCAATAAAGGAATAAAAAGGATGTAGTACACAAGGACAAAAAGAAGACATTAAGAAAAAATCTCAACATATTTTTGGAAAATTGAAAATGAATAGAAGATGGCAAAGCAGAGGAAACCGTAACAGAACAAAAGGGGGTTGGTGTCACCAAACACAAGAGACACTTGAGACACTCACACATCGAGAAGTAGGGAACAGATATAGGGCTGAACACATAGGGGAATTGCATAAAAATATGTTTATGGAAGGCTTGGATGCCCAAGGCCCCTTCTCCACCCATTACAAAGCTAGATGAACAACCTCAACTCCTCCCTACAGTAGACCAGAGGCATCTTCCCCTAGAGAACTCCACCATAAAACCTGCAGAATTAGGGACTGCAAGGAGAGTAGAATCCAGGGACTGAAAACAGGGTGGGGGGATTAAGTTAAGTAAAAATCTTTAGGTTGAATGAAAGGACCTGCCACTTTCCCAGCCCTTTCCCCACTCTTTGGCAATCAGGCCTTTACCACCAGACAGGTATCTGGAGGGACACACTGCATAGTGGTTAAAAGCTCAAACTCTAGCACTGTGTTCTCTAGGCTCAAATCCTTACTCTGCCACTTTCCATCTGTGAATCCTTGGACAAGTTACTTAACCTCGGGGCCCCTACTCCTCACCTGAAAAATAAGGATAATACACCTCATAACATGGAGGAAGAAAATCGTGAAGAATGAGAATCATTGAATTTGAAATATATAGGATTCCAACCAGCCCTTGGCATTTCTCTCTACCTGTAGTACTCTCAACTTATCATTTCACTCCAGAGAAGCAGAAGAAATACTTATGAAACAATTTCATCCCTCTATTAAGTTGGGATATTCAAGGAAAAGAAAATTCAAAAGAAGATCAATAAAACAAATGGGAGGAAAGAATCCTTTAGAAGCCATCAATTTTTCAATAATATCCTTCATTATACTGCAAGCGTTTGCAAATGAAGGGGAAGGGAAGTGGACAGTGACCTCCCCTGGTTAGGAACTACTATTCCAGATCATCCAAAGATCACAGTGGACCAATTATCTAAAGAACAGAGAGGCACAGACTGCTCAGGTGCTACACAATTAATTGAGAGCTTACAATGTCTTAATAGCTAAGGATGCAAGAGTGAGCAAGAATGCCACTGTCTCTGCCCTAGCAGAACTAACTAAAGTACCCAGCAGGCTAGTGCAACAGCCTGAGATAAATCAAATCCTATAATCAGTAAACTAATTTAACATTTCAGAATTGCTAGTACCAAATTAAGTTGGAACTAGAGACCTACATTATGTGCTATTAGTATACCTATCAATGACCATTTTTAAAATGGAAACTATGTATCAGGAACTTTGATAAATGCTCTACATAAATTACCTCACTTAAACAACAATTCTATTAAACAGATATTATTTCCCTCATTTCACAGGTGAGGACAATGAGATCAAAGAGGTGGGATAATTTGTCCATGACTACACAAGTAGGCAGAGGCGGTGCTGGGATGCATCAAGTCTGACTTGTTTTTTCCAATCCACAACGGTCAGGTTCCAAGAGGTATCCTCTAAAATCAGAGGATAATGAATTCAGGCCTGGTTCAAAGATACCCCATTTAATTCTGCCCTTTTCTTTTTAATTTTCTCTAAATGTTCTCAATTTAGTACTTTGTCTAGTGGTAGTATATATAACATTATTACAGGGAAAAAAGTTGTGCATAAAATCTCAAGTAAGAGGCATCCTACATTGACTTAAAACTATCGACTAGTTCCCTAAAAGTCTATTTAGTGACCTTCATTTTATGAAATACCAATCCATTTAGCCTGATAGAATCTACTAAATTTAAAAAAAAGCCGTGTGTGTATGTATCTATGTGCACATGTGTGATATATACATATATAGTATTTTCTAGTTTCAAAATATTTCCAAAATTTTATTTTCTTATACCTTCAGAAGAACCTTTAAAAATCAAATACTTGAGAAGTGAAAAGATTAACAATATAAATATTTCTATAATTCACATAGGGACAGAAGGTTCTAGTTTCTGTGGCATTATTAATATGCTGTGATATGCCTTGGGTAAATCATTTCATCTCTGGGCCTCACTAAAGGGAAATCAGATGACACAATCTCTAAGGTGCACCAAACCTTTGAAAATTCTATGACAGTACAAATAACCAGGAAACCTCATAAAACATTTTCAAAGCATGATCAACTATGTCTTTGTACAGGACAAGCAAGGGACTACAGTAGAAAAAGAAATCTAATCAGCATTTACTTTTTCATCTGGACCACTTGATTTAGCAGCTCCCTTAAGCAGCATATCCGCGTTGGAGATGCAGAGCTGACAAGACTCCAAGGAACCGCCAACTCTTGGGGAATAACACCTGGCCAGTTCTTGTTCTTTTCATCTAAAGGTACTCAGTCGGAAATTAAAGTAAACCCCACTTTTATAGCCCATGAAAACTGTTTCCCTCTATCTAAACAACCTTTCCATCTCAGCCTCAAGGAACTAATAAAAGAAGAAAGGTGAAGACAGCTGAATGATTACTCTTCTTTAGTAAAACAGGGTGAGGATTTAAAAAAGTGATGAAATCTGTCCATGGTGTAGCAAAGTAGGACTCAGAGTTTTCACCTATTTGCTCTCTCTGGTTCCTCTTTAGCAAACTAGAAATGTGCACCGAACATGAAAAAGGAGAAAGTTATGTGAAAAAATGCAGATTGAGGTTTTCAAAGATCCCACACTCTAAGTTTTCTCCCTACTTGGAATTAAATATTTAGGTTACCTGATTAAATTAAAACACAAGCCTCAAAGCATGTTTACAATAGTTTATAAAGTTACAGGACAGGCCACTGTGGTTTAAATTTACAACTTAATTTTATAATTAAGCCTCAAAGAATATAGTGGTGGAGTGGAATGGGGGAGAAGAATGCAAATACGTATACCAATTTTCAACAAGAGTAACAAAAAATACTCTAAACACAAGAATAAAATTTAACCAATCAAAATTAAATATTATCTTTAAAATATTATTTTAAAATATCTCAATTCAGGGAGGCTGGGTGGCTCAGTCAGTCAAGCCTCTGCCTTAGACTCAGCTCGGTGGTCCTGGGGTTCTGGGATCGAGCCCCGCACTGGTCTCCCTGCTTAGCCGGGAGTCTGCTTCTCCCCCCACCCCACCCCCGCCATGCTCACTCCCTTGCTGGCGTGCTCTCTCTCAAATAAATAAATAAATAAATAGATAGATAGATAGATAAATCAATCAATCAATCAATCAATAAATAAAATCTCTCAATCACATCTTCCTCTCAAAAGTGCAAAAATACCAGAAGTCAGTTATGTTCATTTTACGCTTGTAGACAATGAAGTCAAAATTAGAGTAAAGAACTTCAGTAAAATCAATACAGTAAAAGAAATAGGATTAAAATTCAAAGCTCCTGATTACAAGATCCAAGCTCTATTCAAAAATCAAGATGCCTAATCAAAGATCCTGTAAAAATTCAATTACTCAGGCTTCTGCTCACTGAGTTAAAAATGTCTATGCAGGAAATACACTCTCTGACAAATTTCACAGAGCAAAATTAAAAGTTTAAACATACTTAAAGGGCCTGATAAAATCGATACCAGCATAATAAACAGATGAGGATTTTTTCCAATTTTAGTAAGTCTTTGACTTAAATTTTTTTTTTAAGATTTTATTTATTTATCAGAGAGAGAGAGAGCACAAGCAGGGGGAGCGGCAGGCAGAGAGAGAAGCAGACTCCCCGCTAAGCAGGGAGCCCAATGGGGGACTCGATCCCAGGACCCTGGGATCATGACCTGAGCCGAAGTCAGACGCTTAACCAACTGAGCCACCCAGGTGTCCCTGACTTAAAATTTAAAACCACACTACCCTACAGGAATTGAGAGAGTAAATTAATACACACTGATTAATACATTCTGAGCCAATGGTACAAGTTTGGATTTGAGGCTTTACACATTTTTAAATACCCCATATACCCCGTTACATCCCTGCACCTCCAGAAATTATGAATCTATGAAAGCCTTCCCAACCACATGTATCCAATGACTAGAGGGTTTACCAGAAATCACTTTTCAGAAAGAAATAGGTTAGGGAAGTAGAATTCTATTAACAATTATTTATTTTATTATTTTACAAATATTCCAAATAAATCTTTGTAACTAACATACTTTTCTAAAAGCACTACACTTAACTTGTGGATTAAAACATTTTTTAGAGTCTAGAGCCATGGTTCTCTAAGCTCAATCAGCAATATCCGAGGACAGTTCTGGTTGTCACTACCGGCATCTACTGGATGGAAGCCAAGAACTCCGCTAAACATCCAACAGTGTACAGGTCAGCCTCCCATAAAAAAGAATTATCTGGCTCCAATGTCAACAGTGCCAAAACTCAGAAACCGTGGTCTACAATCTAACTTGTATTATAAGGACTATTAAGGTTCACTTACCTTTGAATTTAATATCCAGACCACTAAATTCCAATTCAACTCCTTGAAGTGCTTCTCCCAGAGTTTCATGGTAATGACTGATACTTTTTTTTGACCCCACACAGAATGGAAGTGAAAAGTACTTATATGTCTCTTGGCGATTATGGTAGGGCCCAACAGTATTCATCCATAAGACAACTTCCTCTTTATCTTGATACTGAAACAAAAAAGCAAATTACAATACGTTTTTTAAAAAATCTAATTCAAATTAAGGGAATATTTGTTATTTGTTCTAAACAAAAGTGTACTGCCTCTGTTTGGGAACCTATAAAATAAAATACTGGAAGTTTATTTTAATCTGATGATCAATGTCCACACCTTAAAAAAGACACTTGGTAAATTTTACACTTGTAGACAATGAAGTCAAAATTAGAGATCAAGACCCTGAGATCAAGACCTGAGCTGAGCTCGAGTCGGATGCTTAACCAACTGAGCTGCCCAGGCACCCCAACACTTGTGAATTTTAAAATTTTATCTTCTGATTGTGGCCTCAGGCAGATCCACCTTTTCTTAAACTTTGTTTTATAGAAGGTATTGTATAAACAAAGTCCAATAGCATACAAAAGCCCAACACCACATCAAATAATGATGACCCAGAAACAACATTATTCACCATGCTAATATGGACATGGAAGGAGGAAAGAAAATCAACAGCTTACCCAGAAACTCATGTTAATCATTAGAAACTAAAAAATCTAATGTTGCCAGAAAGCACAAATAAAATTTCATCTACTTTCTAATCTTTTCCATGGCCACTGGTCAAAGTACTAGAAAGGAGAGAAATGACTAAACAAGAGGAAGAGAAAGCCACATTATGAAATCTCCACAGTCCATTCAAGCCATCATTCTATCCTCCCCCCTTTATTAGCCTGAAAGACATACACTGTATGCATGTTTCTTTGAATAAATAACTATGGCTCTCCCCATCAGTATATACTGTATGTAGCTAAATCTGGAGTGTGGTCCAATGACTTTGGGTAGGTGACCACCTTTCCAGCATCTAACTAGGGGATGTGCCAAAGATTTCTAAGATCTCAAGTTTAAAATTCCAATGATTCTATGAAAAGCAATTACCCAAATAATTTTAAAACTAGTGCCTGCCACGTATCAATAATTATGTTTGTAACTGAGGATACAGCTTTGAACAAAACATGTTCCCTGCCCTACTGGAGCTCAGAGCCTAAAGGGAAAGATGGACACTGAACAATTATAATAAAGTAAGGTGCTATGGAGCATGTAACAGAGGAAGCTCTCCAACTAACCAAACTACCAAATTCTTACCTCCAGTCCTCCATCTAAAATATACAAACTTTTTTTATTAAAATCTAAGCTTTCCAAAAACATACTCACCCCACCCAAATCTAGCCTTTCTTTGATCTTTGTTTTTCTAATGGTACCACCATTCTCTCAGACAGGAGACTCAAACCCCAAGTCCCTCTGTATTCCAAAAAACACTGACTTGTCTACTCTTACCCAGAGCATCTGCCTCTTCCTTTTGATTCACACCACCAGCACCCTATGACTTAGATCTAATCACCACATCTTCAAATATAATAAATCTCATTGTTCATATAAGACATCATCCAGGTCATTTAGAAAGTAATAAACTATCTTACTTTTTGAATATATGAGACACATACCAAGCATAGTGGTATTAAGGATACACAGTTGACCCTTGAACAATGCAGGGTTAGTGTTACCAACCCACCCCAGTGTCAAAAATCCATTATGTAACTTTTGACTCCTCAAAAACTTAACCACTGATAGCCTACTGTTGACCAGAAGCCTTACCGGCAACATAAACAGTCGATTAACACATTTTGTATGTTATATGTATCATATAGTATATTCTTACAATAAGATAAGCTAGAAAAGAGAAGATGTTAAAAAAATTAAAGGAGAAAATACATTTTATCATACTGTACTGTATTTATGGAAAAAAACCTGCATGTAAGTGAACCTAACACAGTTCAAACCCATGTTGTTCAAGGGTCAATGTACAGATAAATAAAATACTGTCCTTTCCTTTAAGAAGTTCACAATCCAGGGACGCCTGGGTGGCTCAGTCGGTTAAGCGTCTGCCTTTGGCTCAGGTCATGATCCCAGGGTCCTGGGATCGAGTCCCGCATCGGGCTCCCTGC